TATCATGCTCGATCATGACCAGTCGATGCCTGATGAAGGGGACCCTGCGTGGCCCCGAAAGCGCTTGTCTTAATGACATCTAGCAATAAAGTGGATTTGCGCTGACGTGAATCTTCATGCTGGAGTGCTCATGATATCTGAATTTGTTACTATTTGTTGGTTCTTCAAGGCATCCTGTGAAATTTTAGGCAAATTAGGAGGCTTTGGGGGGTTAAGAGGCAGCCAGGATAATACACATTTTTCCAGATATACTGAGGTTTCCATATAATTCTCACTATGTAACCTCTGCTTTAGGCTTTTTTTTAATTATCATTTGCTCAACTTGAATTGCCCAGGTTTACTTCAAGACAAGATCTGCTTAATTATTTGCAGATAAGTATTAATTTAGTTTCTAGTTGGCTGTGACTTTATAGCTTTCATAATCTGCATTTGAATTTGTGTATGGAGCATTCAGATGGTATTTGCGTCATCTCGGCACCCCCATTAATGTAGTTTGCATGCCACAGAATAATGCCAATTAATTGGTTGTCCCCTGCCTTCCCCGTATTAATTCTGCTGTTTGCCTGATGGAACCAGAAGGCCACGCTTGAATAATTGAGGCACTGGGGAGTTAAGTATGCCTCTGTATGTGCTATATATAACTCCTCTGTGATGCCCCCGCTCCCCTGGCTGAAGGTTGATATTTTATTAGCCTGTTGGCAAGAGGTAGGGGAACGTTTGGGACTTATTTGTGAACTAAAGAAGTTCCTCTCTTCTGGGCATTGTACATTAGTGAGCTCTGCTGGGAGTAGTGTGTAGAAGGTGATTCAAGCCCTTAAAGGATACCTCCAGTTCTGTAAAAAAAAAGCTTCACCAAAGTAAGCCGGACATCTCGCTAAAGGCATTTTTCCATGCAGGGCAAAGCAATAAGTTCACTTTAAACCACCCCCAACCCTCTGAAGCAGCACATTTTTATCCTGCTCCCCCTGTGCCACCAGAAAGAGAAGGAAAGAAAGTGCAAGCTCACAATCCCTTTTAGTCAAAGCTTACATGGGGCTGATAACTTGTCCTTCCGCCTCCATGTCACAGAACCGGGGCTATCAGCAAACACCAGTGCTGTCACATGAGGGAAAGGTGAGGTGTCACATGCTCCTCCATACCAGGAAGTACTAAAGCAACCTGTTGATTTCCTCTAAGAGATAAATGTAGCAGTGAATGTTGAGGGTTGTGCCTCTACTGTAACATACGGAGGTGCTCTATATCAGCCTTTCTCAAGCTTCCTCAGGGATGCCTCAAAATTTTGTGATGGTAGGTATGAAGTGGGAACTGAAGGCTCCGGATGTGCAAGGAGGGGACACTGGTGTGAAGAGGGGGGCTACTGACCTGAAGAGGGGTTTACCAATGTAAGGTGGACTCTAATTTGAAATGGGGATTTTGATATGAAGGGTAACCCCACTTTTTTATGTGTTTTTGTGTGGGGTCTCTCCTTTAAAATCCATCAGATTTTAAACTAGGGTGCCTCAAAATTTTGCATACTTTTGAAGAGTGCCGTGACAGAAAAAAGGTTGATAAACGTTGATCTAAGTTACATTCTCCAAGAGGAAGTTGGAGAATGAAAGAGTATACCTGGCTGTTTGCCATGGGATCCAGTTGTTATTATGAGAGAAACATGGGTACTGAAAATGCCACTTGCCCGGCCATCATGCTGACCCTTTGCTTCATTACTTAAATGTTTTAAGTTATAGGGCCAGTATGACAACCAGGCAAGTAGCATTTTTAGAAGGAAAGGTTGGCCCCCATATTTCTCTCATGACAGATTTCTTTTCATTGCAATATCCCTTTAAATGTTTACATTTGCATTGCAGACAGTAGCTTACATTTCGTTTGCTGAAACTATATTGGTAGAAATGCCGGCAATATGAACTGGTAAGACGCATTGTGCAGTCTAGGGTTAGCTGTCATGACTGCACCTCGTCAAGGGATACTTAATAAGGGGAGGGCTGCACATTTACACGTGACAGAGTTATTTCACTTGTTGCTCATTTATTGATTTATTTGAAAGGCAGAACATACAGTCGCAGATTTTACAATGTTAGGTTAATCTTGGGGTTGCTCAGCGCACATCTCACAGAATGTATAACTGTCAGTCTTGTACCTTTTTTATACTTGTACATGAGGGCTGGATACATTTTATTTAAGACTGAAGTCAGTCCGCCTGATCCAGAACACTGCACAAATGTTTAGGGTGCCAAGAAACGGTTTAGGTACACTGACCCCCTGGCTTCCGGGATTTGTTCAGCTCCATTTTAAAGTATATTGAGGGAAAAGTGCATTCTGTATAAAGTGTTTAAACTGTGCTTATTATTGTCATAGTTAAAATGTAGACACAACAGGGTTTATAACCTCATTTGTTCAACTGTTTGTTGATTACTACTGGCTTAATGGAGAACTATAGCCCATGCTTTTTTTTTTTGCCATAGTTTTCTTTAGGGCAACGGTTCTCAAACTGTGGGTCGGGACCCCTTCGGGGGTCGAATGACAATTTGCCAGGGGTCGCCGGGAGTCTCCCGCTATTAGATAGCGGCTCCCGGCCGCCCGGGAGAGCAATACTTTCTCCCGGAAAGGTTTAATCTGCGTGATCGAGCAGAGTAAACCTTTCGCTGCAATCGTTTTTTATTTCTGACATCGGAGCCCCGGCCGCCGTAAGTCAGAAAAAAATAAATAAATCAGCATTGGAATGCATAGCTACATTCCTATTGGCTATTTCACTTTGCAATAGCAAACTAGCTATTGCACCCACCCACTGCTGCTGTCAATCAGCAGAGGGGGACCTGCAGTTCTCCATCAGGTCCCCATCTAGTGATTATCATCATTATTATTAATAATAAAAGCTGACACCCTCGGCTTGTGTTATATGGTTTGCCATTTTAGCTGTTGCAACAGTGGTTCTCAACCTGTGGGGTCGCTGTGTGATTTTTGCTGTGCTAGGTGAGAGTCCTCTTCAGCCCTCTCCTAGCGCAGCAGTGTCAGTTCTCCCCCGCTACGCCGCCAGATGTTGCTGCAGCAGCCGCGTCAACCCTAAATTTTACCGTTGGGGGTCAACACAACTTGGCAAATGTTACCAAGGGGTCCCGACCCTAGAAAGGTTGAGAACCACTGCTTTAGGGTTAGAGGAGGACATATACTAATGTCCTCCTGTGACTCAAAACTCAGTATATAGCGGTCTATTGCCCGCTATATGCTGACAGCGCAGAGCAACGCTGCAGCCGGGACGGATCCCGACAATATTGTCGGGGATCCACCAAGCTGCCTGATTGACAGCTGCCTCTCTAGAGCCAGATCCACCTGTGCCCTCCCCCTCCCATCTAGCTCTAGAGAGGCAGCTGTCAGGCAAATGAACAGGTAGGGGAGGGGGAATCCCTGCGGGCAGCGCTGACTGACTGGCATTGTTCTCCGCAGGGAGAAGATTGTGAACTGAGTGGCGATATATGATCGCTCAGGTTCAGTGTAGCACGTCGTCTCTAATTATGGGGATGAGTGTATTTCACTGTCCTCATAATTCTTTAAACCAAATCTCCTGCCAAACTGTAAGTCACTTTTCCTTGCCTAACTCAGCAATTTACATAGAAATCTTTGCAGAGCTGGCATCGGCCTATACGGCTCAGCAAAGTTCATGCTGCAATATTTAATTAAGGAAACTGCAATGTGAATAAATGATGTCACCTCTGATTCTGTGAAAAGAGGTGTGGAGCATGTACTGTGGGCAGCCTCCAAGGACCACATCTGAATCACAC